CTCTGGTCAGGTCACAGAGCAGCACAGGAATGGCAAAGAAAATCCCACCTCACCAGCGACTGGTTGCTTCTGCAGACGTTTGCCCAAGTCAAAAATTGCAACAATCAAAAAGTCAAAATAACCATGGCTGGACCAGACCATGTAAGCCCACTGCCTCCAGAAACAACGCGTCAGCTCGTCCGAAGCTGCCGAAGATGGTCTTCACACTGGCAGTGAAACCATTCGCATGGCATCCGGTAACTAGAAGCAGGGCGTCAGCGCCAAACGCTTGTGAATTCAAAAATTTCATAAATGTTTTTGCCTTCTTTTGCCGCCAGCCTCAGGACGAACAACTTTCCTGCCTCTTGATGGACAGTCTGCTGGATTGTCCTCTGAAGGAATATAAACCAATCGAACAAGCAAGTCGCAAGCAAGCGCGTGGGCCCCAATCGCTCTGATCACGCTGCGCATGCCAGGGGCAGAAGTCCTGCCTTTGGCAGCTGCGCCCAGAACTGCTTTTGCATCCACCAGAATCACCACTTTCTTGTGATGCTTCAGGCGGCTGCGTGCTAACCATTTCAAGGTGAGTAGCAAAGCATGGCCCTCTAAAGTGCTCGAGTGCGCTTTCCACTTTGCTCGCGAAGACACTATTGTTCGAAACTCCTTCTTGCCAAAAACCAATCGATGCGGAACTCCCAGTCTCGATTTCTCTGGCTCTTCGCCGGCATTTTTGTGCACCCGGACAAAATCGCCACGTCGCTCTGATAGCCGACCAAGCCTTGAGACTGCACCTACTGAGCATTTAACGGCTGAGACGCCGAAACCAAATTCAGGAGCAGCGTCACACGCCAAAATTTCAGTGTAGTACTGCTTGTCAAGGCTCACGCTAAGTAGCGGCAACAAGCCCAAAGCCACGGCAAATTCTTGCAAGACTGGTCGCGGGACCTCAACACGTTGTCTGTCCGGCTGCTGCCTTACAAAATCGTAGACATGGTGAAAAACTCCAAAAACCGGTCGCTGCAACAAACAGAACCACTGCAAAAGACCTAGCAAAGCATTGACCGCCCTGGGAGAAGCTGTCTTTGCCCGCAGGAGGTCCAAACCTGCAGCGATGCAAGTGAGAAGCTTTGGCACGGCCGGCTCTACAACATGCGGTCGGCTGCTAATGTCACATCCCAAAGCAGTTGTTTGCTCAACCAAAGTGATATCCTTGGAAACCTTCCGGGGTATGCCTGCTGCTTGCAAAGATGCGTCAAAATTTGCCAGCGTTTCTTGCCCTTTGGTGACCTCTCGATGCATGAAAACGGTGTCATCTGTTGCAACCATGCAGAGCTCCGACTGGTCTGCAGGAGGGGGGGTGACACATTGAGAGCACGTTCTCAAGCGCAACTCCCGACGCAGTAACTCGCGCAAGCGTTGTGCTTTGAGCAACCACAGACGACCAGCTGAAGCCCATTGGCCAGACTATGTTGACAGGAAAAACCGTGTCTCCAACCGTAAGCTGCTGTGTCCCAGAGTCATCCACCAACTCTTGCAAATAGCTCAAGCTGCACCCCCCAACTTCCATCAAGTCACTGACTTTGACTGCTGCCTGTCCAAACCAAGGTCGCAACTGGTCCGGCACCCTTAGCACAAAGAAAGTCTCCGCATCTCTTTTGGAAAACCAGATGGGGCTGCCTGGCTCTATTTCCAGATCCAAAAAAGAAGAGGGGTTTGCAAGACGAGGTGGCTCGGGCGGCTTTGCAGCTGCGGCAGACAACGCCGCTCCGTTCCAAACTTTCCGCTGTCTTCCAGCAGTGGATTTCCCAACGGCAAAGACTGGCGCGGCTCCTTTGACGGACAGCCTAAGCCGTAGCTTTCCACAGGCTAGTTCCCGGCTGACCAAGGTGAGGTACTCTGTTGAGCGGCTGGGCGTTGCACAGCTGTCGCCCAGGAGGCATTTCTCAGGGAAAGGAAAGATGTTTGAAACCTCTCGCACTGCATCATTGAGGCCCTGGTCAACATGCAGTAAAGGGTCACATGTAGCAGCCTGCAAAGGAAGGTCCACTGCAGCTCCAACAAGTGGCTCGCTTGCAACTGCAGCAGCCTTCTCGAACTTGCCAAAAGCTCCTCTCCAGCACCAAGACTCACCAGCAGCGGATGCAAATCGGTCAAGCATCCGCAAAACTTTGTCGGCAACATGCCGTTGAGCTTCCAGCTGTGGCGCTGTGGGCGCGGCCGCTGTCGCCACCACGCGCAGCAGCTTAAAGTCGGCCCACAAAATGTTGAGGCTCAAGATGCACAAGTTGGCTATTGTCAAAGCTGGCCCCTCCCTTTCTTTTGGCACACACTTGTCTCCCGGCCACTTGGCCAAAGGCGGGAGAGGAAAACAATCTCTCACCCGTTGCCGATGTTTTTGTGCTGCCTGGGACAGTGACTTGAAAAACGTTCCCAAAAGCCCTGCCTCACTCAAAAGCAATTTCTCCACAGCCTGTCCAAACTCAGAAATAGCGCTTGCCCTGTCTTCCCGGCCGGCTCTGTGGGACAGCCGGCGGGCCGCATCACGAGCTTGTTTGGCTGGTGAAGGTTTTGGGCCACGTCTCCGTTTATTTCTGGATTGCGTCTGGCATGTCTTCCAAGAAAAATTGTGTTCGAGGCCAGGGGGTGGAGGAATGTATGGCCAGATTGGAGGACTGAAACAGGCAAAAGGATCCATCATGGCCGTGCGCGGAAGCCGTTCGCTCAGCACGGGACCCAAAAATCAAAACCTACCCCAGCGCTGGTAGAAAAATTTCATCTTGTGGCCAAACAGCCTCGACATAAAACCCACATGTTTCAGAAAGGCAGCTGCGCAGTCATTCGGCACCCTTTGTATCTGTTTCATGCCTACAGCTCCTCTGGCTGCACGCTCCAACAGCAATCTCTATTTCAGTCTATCCGCCAGCACCATCTACCCAAAGGGTGGTTATTAGATGGAACGTAGATAGTCAGGGGGGGTCTATAAACCACCCGAACTGGGTGGTGCTGGCGGTCTATCCTATGACCTGTAACAGTGGATGATGATGGTTCAGGTTGCAGGCCTTGTTCAAACATGATGATAATTGTTTACGGGTCCTGTTACAGGTCAGTTCGGACAGACCCTATGGATGTCAGACTCCAACAATCACATGGGACTGGAGTCTTTACCACTTGAACAATTCTTCAAACGACCCATCCACTGCTCGGGCCAATCTTCCAGTCCGGATGGTCTGGTTTTGGAGTGGGTCTGTATTTGGGGCTTTCAAGTCATGCTCTTTAGCGGGTATACCGTGGCGGAAGGATCCCACTATGACCGAATGCATTGGTGGCACTGGTCTCCACCAAGTTCTTCTTTGCTTCAGCTGACCGATGGGCCCTGCCTAGGCAGGGACTAGTGACTGCACCCGTCGAGGTCCGGGATCTATTTCTTTCTATGGGCTAATGAATCACGACGAGGGGAAGTGATGCGAAGACTCGAGCCTCAATAACTGAGGTCCAAAAAGATGTTCTTTTGACCCAGCCCGGAGTCTACAAATTAATTACCTGCGAAAATGGGTACAAGATGGTACAAGTGCAAGTAATTCGCCGTCTTTTATAGGGTCATGAGCTCACGTCCCGTTTACAGTTGGCCCAGGTACCCCAAAGACCATGGCCCCAGGAGACGGACGGCTCCGTTCCGTGACCGCGTTGACCGAGTGCCCCGGACGTCACGAGGATCGCCTGGGAGATGGGCGAGAAGAAGAAGCCACTCACCAACAGCGCCACATATGGCCGCCACCTCGGCGGTCCAGCCGCGGAAGCCGCGCCGCGGAGAAGCGCGCTCCGCGTGGCCCTGTTTTTTTTTCTCTTCTGCCGCGCGATGTCTGAGTCTTTGTGGCTCTTTGGTGTCTGGAAGATGAGACGAGATGCAGATTCTTCTCTTGGTGGAGTGGTGGAGTGGATTCTGAAGCGAAAGAAGGATGGTGAGGACTCAAAGACTTCTTCTGAGCCAGAACTAGAGATGCCGAACTTGCCAAACGTCCTTGGATTTGCTTTCCAGAAGCCGGAAAAGAATACATACTTCCCCATGGCCAAGACATTCACGCCGAGGGAACATAGAACAAATAAAACATAACCCGATCCACGTGTAGAGATCTGAAGTCAGTCCTTGAGATATTGTCTAAACATAGATTAATGATCCCCTAGACGTCCCTGGCAAAATTCCTGCGAAGCAAACCTCCCATCATCTTCCTTTCTTGCGAACCGTGGGTCTCTCCAGCTCTCCCCATTTGTTCTCCCCCAAGAAGCTTCCAGGTGACCTGCAGATCCACATCCCACGTACCTCCTGGGTACGTTGAGCGAAAACGACCAGAAACCGTAGCGGTTTCGGTGCGGCCCAGGTCGCTCTCTCCAGGCAGGCTCAGGTTCCAAGGCGTGCAGAACCGCCTCAACCGACCATCTCGACCACTCCGGGCGCGTGGTGACCGGACCGGAGTGGTCGACCAGAGGACCGGGTCGCGGACCGGAGTCTCCTGGCTTCTGGATCTATTTGAGTCATATATACCAGCACCCCACAGGTACCGACCTGTTAAGGCCTAACCACCCTGTAAAGAGAAGACCTGTTGGAGGATGGTATGTTATCTATGACCAGTAGAATGAGGTCAGGAACTCCTGACCTGTAGGGAAAGGGTGGGCCCCATGTAACGCAGCATATGGCACATGTATACGGGTATGGAGTATCTTGCCCAGACACGACCTGTCTGGGACTGCCAGTCCGGACTGCCGCCCCAGCCAGACCCCCAGTCAACCACCCCTGGCCTGATCGGTAAATATGCCAGTCGTGTCTGGGTTTGATTGATATTGATTGATGCCCAAAGGCTTCGAGTTTGGACCCAACCAGTTTCGGGGTCCGGGTAGGACCCGACCTTCGAGCCTCGGGTGTTGGAACCTAGACCCGCAACATGCTTCGCAGTTGGTTCGGGTCGAGACCGGGTCGCCGATGTTGGATTTGTTGGAAAATGTTGGGTTTGCATGGTGGATTTTGAAGGTGCTGCATATATGGACCATCGACGTGGAAGCATCGAACCTTAACCACCGTCCACGGTGGACCGGAACAATAACCACAAACTTTGAGGATGCTTCATGAACCTTGGAACTGGGGGGGGTGTCCAGTAAACCCGCATATTTCCAGTAAACCCGCTTATTGGTAGTTATCATTGAGCACAGGTGAGGATACTTGAGTCATGTGCGCCCCACGTGATGAGGGGTGAGGGGTGGGTGGATGGGTAGACGCTAAAGCATTTACCTCTCACCTTTCAGGGTCATCTTTGCCGGTAGACGTGCTACTTATTCAGAGCTAGCTTTCATCTCCGTTTGAGACAGACCCCCATCAGTCAATTGGAGACAGACCCGGAACTGTGCTCGAAACATGTCCAAAACCCAGCAGTTTTGGAGGGTATTGAGGTCTCACTGTATATAGACCTTCATCAAACAGGACCGGCTGTGCAAACCAATGCCGTTCCACGGTGTCTGGTCCAAAGAAGGTGTACGATATTAATATATACTCTTTGAAAGCAAGAAACACCAGAAGTGATCGAACGAAGGTACAACACCCCTCTTCTGTCTCTTCGTGCAGCAGCTTGAGGTCAGCAAAACACCATTCGGATCCAGGTTGCTTGAGGTCAGCCATCCGTCCACTGTAGATTCTCCAAGTGCTTGAATTGGTAAGCTTCGCGACGCACCCAATCGAGGCGAGATACAATTACCACACGTTTCCCTTGTTTTGTTGCACTCACTCAACCAATGAATGGTCTGAAAGCTGCATATTATAGTATATACACACTAGTGCACCCAAGTGCCTGGAGTTCAGAGGCAAAAAAAGGTCTGAACATGCTGTTGACTGATGTCAGCCTTCACCTGTGCTCGGTGACTCCCTACAATTCCAACCCTGAATCCCAAGCATCCATAGTTTTACTATAAGGATTCTACACTACAAAATTAAACCAGCTCAAAAACCCTGTGTTTGTGCATGGTCTGCAGCTTGGCCTGCCCCTGCAGGCTTCTACATCCGGTCGCCGGTCATCACCACACCGCACCACCGCCGCCTTCTGTGCGCAGACCCGCGCCACCGCGCGGCGCCAGCGCTTGGATGGTGAGGGGCATCCCTCACAGCGGTCGGCGGCGGCGAGTCAGTAGGGGGGGCGGGGAAGTGGTGAGGTGAGGGAGGGAGGTGGTTTCAGACAGGACCCAAAAAGGGGCAGGGATGACAAGGGTGAAAACACACGGAGCAATGCCAGTGACATTTAGGGGTTTTACTGGTTCTGGCCGTGTTCAAGAGATGTTTCATGTTACCAGATGGAACGAATCCCCTTCGGTAGATGTTCTTTCCCGGTTCCTGGAGAATGGGTTCTTCCCAAACACTCATGGACCCTGCGTTCAGTAGGGGCCGTACCCTCATATGGAGGGGTCCGGACCCTCAAATCCCTATGGTTTTGAGGGACCAAGACCTGTTTGGAGCGTCTGGGTTATAATAAAATATGCCCAGAGATGACCATGACCATGACCATGACCTGCCTGGGATTGCCATATTGGCTGCGGAGAAAAGGCCGTGGTTGATTGAAAAGGGGTCGCCGATTCCAGTCCCATCGGTCCTTGTGGATGGAATGGCGCCACTGGCCGGCGCCACGATTGGAGGGGTTGCTGGATCGGAGTGCACAGAATTTCTCCATGAGAAGCGTTGTCTTTTGTGGGGAGGTCCTTTCCACTGGAACATCCTAGTGGCTTTCACATGCTGTTTTCAGACAATTGAAGTCCATCAATGAAAACAACAGGAATATCCACAAACATGCGAAACCAAAACAATGTGTGACATCACATGACATCACCATTTTGAAGTCCCCACCATCTCCACTCCAACTCTTAGCCTCTTAGCTCCATCCAATCCCAGAATGGCGATAAAGCGAACAAAGGCACACCCTAGGGCTCCTGTCGTACCTCCTTAGAAGGTATGACTGGACCCTCTAAACTCACCCCAGTCCCACCTTCTAAGAAGGTCCGACTGGAGCCCTAGGGACAAAGAAACTTCCATCACTCGGGAACACACTCCACTCAACGGTGCGAAACAAACGCAGCACCGCGGCGCCGGCCATGCCAAGGCGCTCCCGGCGAGGTCGCGTCCATCGTTACCGCATGGGTTTCCGCTGCGGTCTCGTCGTGCGTATGTGGGACTTCGCGTCGTGCTGCGTCGTGCTGCGTCTCGTCGTGTGGGACTTCGTTGGAGTGATTACGGGGTGAATCGAAGTGGGCCATGGAGTTCGGGGTTCAGTTGGGAGAAGAACGGTGTGGGTGGTTGGATAATGATAGATGTGTCTTACGTCCGGGATTGTGGTCCAGATGGGCGATATGGGTCATGCCAATAAAGCTCTGTTTGGCTTGGTGGATCTATGGCTGGAGTTGATGCTTGACATTTTGCTCATCACTGGGTTTCCAGCGACGAGACAAAGTCTGACATGAGAGTCTAATTCATTTAGTAATCTCTGTTCTACCTTGACCAGCAATCATCAGCAAATTCTTGCTTGCTGAGATGTCCAATCTCATGGCCTCAGGCTGTGTTTTGGCCAGGCTGAAAAGGCTCACCACGGGGGGAAGCGCCCGCCTGTTGTCGGACCTACCGGTTTGAACAAGTCGGAACGGAACGATGTCACACGTGGGTGATCTGCTTTCAACGGAAGAAACATGGGACTGCCATAGTTACATCCATTGGGGTGGTTTCATGGTCAATGTAGGCTATACCCATGAAGTGTCTGGGATAGGCAGTTCGAGATTTGCTGGTTGTTCCATCTGACCGTCTGGGCACGCGATGGAGGGGATGTCCCACGTGCTTCGTCGGGTGAAGGCCATGGGAGGTCTGACCCACTGGCTTCCAGTGCACGAAAAACAGTCAGCAGAACATTACCGGCTACAGGAGATCCATTTAAAGCCCTCTTCCGGACAGGTAGCGCAGGAGAATGACCCATCACACTTCATTGACCAAAGAAGGCGGCCCTTGACGGGGGGCGGCGTCGAATTCATACCGGCACTCATCGAGTTAAGTAGATCAACCTGCCCCGCCCAGTACGAGTCGTTGGGCAAATCAGCGGACTCTTTGCCAGGCCGGCTCGGCCTTAACTAGTTTGTTACTAGTAGCTCCTGGCATCGCTACTAGGAGCAAGGACGCTACTAGTAGCTATTTACTGTAGTAAGGGCAGGAGCTACTAGTAGCGTCCTTGCTCCTAGTAGCGATGCCAGGAGCCCCTAGTGGCGTCCTTACTCCTAGTAGTAATGCCCTTTGCTGCTAGTAGCTTCCAATACAGTCTAGTCTACATCCCATCCTCATCACTCTGCTCCTCTCTCAGAACCCTCCGGGCCCCGTCTTTTTCCGACAGAGCATCCACTCTGGGAATCTGGTCTGCAGCGTTTCAACGCGCTCCTCTCCGGTGCGATCGAACCATCCCCTCCGGGCGCCGGTTCTTCCAGCGGTAAATCCCCGCGAGGAGCGGCTGTTGGTCGCCCCCCCGCGGCTTCTCATCGTGGAAGAGCGGTGGAGAAGATGAGATGGTCGTGGCGCTTGCGCGGCTGCCCAGTGAAACGCTCCAACGTGGCGAGATTGGGTGAAACGGTCCCAACAGATCCTTCAAATGACACAAAACACATGGCGGGTCTCGCGGGTACGATTTTGGGGTGTCCATCTTTTGTGGAAGCATGTGCTAAGCCCAGGTGGACTAGGTGGACTGGGTGATTTAACCCTGGTGCTCTGAGGTGGGCAACCTCGTTCCATTCCAACTCGCCACGCGTGCCACGAGCACGGAGGTCGGCGCCGGGATTGAAATCGGCGCGTGAAAATCCGGTGGGGATCGGAGGTGTCCCCAAAGGGTCCAAACAAGAAATTGACATCCTTGGGCTGCTAATGAATGTGCATTCTATAGAGACCTGAGCGATTTTCAGGACCAGACGGATCATATAGTTGAGAATTGCAAGGCTGCCTTTGCCTCCCCATGTTTCGTAGTCTATCAAGATCCATGATCCATGAATCAAAGGTTCCGAAGGACCACCGGATGTTCAAAAAGAACAGTGCGATATGTCAAAGTGATACACTCCCTGAAACAATCATGGAAGTGGACAGTGGTCCCTTGGAAGACTATGTTCATCTACCAAGAGAGGGTTGTCCACTTCCATGGTTGTTGCAGGCAGGGTATATTTCCATACTATTTGGCCCAAAGGTATCCAAAGGCTACATTCCTGTGGACCCAACCCGTTCGCTGACTAGACATTGCCAGACCGGCGTTTGGACTGAATGTAGCAGTTGCTGGCGATGGTCCAAGGTCGCCTCTGGGGGTTCCAGGTACTGTCTCGGAGCGATGAGGGTTCCAAGCCACGCAGCCATGGCTGGACACCGTTCTGCACGACCCTTCTGCTCGACCTACAAGTCACCCAAACGCTTGACCGAACCTGGAGAACACTGTGCAGACCCTTCATTTGGCGATGCCCAACGACGATTGTTGTTGACTCCGATCCGATTGAAATGAGAGGGGCACCCCAGATGAACAATCGGCAGCTGCTTACGATTGGCATGCGAAGCATGCAATTGTCTGGTGATTGGCATACAAAAAGATCACACAAAAGATCAACAATTAAATTGATTGTCCTATATTTAAAAACTATATATATATATACAACATCCTAAAACTTCATCAACACGTTTGTAAAGACTCTACCTTCAACCCAACTGCAAATGAAACTCTGCAGAAATGGACACAAACTGCTAGAGGCCTCAGAAGGAGGACCCTCAGGGCCTTAAGAAAGACTGCTAGGCGCTTCTTGGTACCCAGAGTTTCTCCACGAAACATCACGAAATGCTTCATTGGAGTCCCTTTAAAGCCGGCCGGACGGAACTCTAACCGGTGGAGTCTTTTTGGAGTGACCTTCAGACTACAAACCAACAAATCATGTTGAGTTGGAGGGTGGTCCTTTAGTTTCATCGATGTGCATATCAAACCAATAACGTATGTTGTTGGATACTTGGATGAGCCAATATAATGGTGAAGATCCCAAACAATGGAGTGCAGGGTTGATTCCAAATTCAAGTGCAGGATCTTGGGGGTTGAATCATGACGCTTCACGATCCTTTCGTCAAGCTCGTCAAAGAAAACTGAGACATGATGGTGAATCAAGGCGTAAGCACTCATCACAGCACAAGGTCAACGGATTGGCGGGAGTGGATGTGCTTAACCAAGCCGCAGGTTTTGAGGAAGCCCCTAGCTTAAGTATTTTTTTTATTTGTTCATCTTGTGCATCCAGAAATCAGCCAGAGACTGTACTTTTGGCGACCCGAAACTTAGCGGGACAATTCCTGAGCAGCTGCTCTACTTTGCGTTGTGTCCATCCGAGGGCGAAAAGAGTCCCACCAGGGCAGTCGGCAGCGGTTCTTTTAGGTGCACGAAACAGGGCAGGGTGCAAAAACAAACAGGTGAGCCATGGTGAGCCCTTCTCAACATCAGTGGGCAAAAGCCTGGGTCTCATGTATCGGATAATAGAAGCCTGCAGCTACCTTCCAATCTCCTTTGGAATTGCTTTCTTTCGGCCAATACTCAAGAATCAAGTCCGAAAACCGCAAGTCCATCCAGACCTCCTGCACAATCGACATGAGCTCTCTACATCAGACATCAATCTGTCTTCCACGAACGGCTCTTTCAGGTGAGCAACCGCAGCAACTGTTCCACCGAAACAACAGCCCTGGCAGGGTTCACCAAGCGCCTCGTAAACCAAGGCTTTTTCTTGGCGCGTTCACAAAAGCAACCCGGGAAAAAACCAACCTTTCCAACGTAGACCACGGCCCATTCAAGGCCTAGGCGCGCAGCCGAACGAGATACATCTCAAGTGACCCGTGGGAACGGGCAAGGAAACGTGATCGTTGGCTGGCAGCACGATGAAAGTCTGTATTCTTATATTGCAGGCCAGGTGAGAGCTATATACCAGCAGTTCCAAAGGAAATGGTGTTTAGTCCCATCCAGTTGTTAAAAGTCGCATGGCCAGTTATCTTTTTGTATATCAATCATATCCCGGCAGCATGCATGGTAGCATGATGGCCCGACTCATTTGGATACATGCATGGTGACGTGGCATGGTGGTGCCTGTAGGCCGCTTCGGAGTGTGGCTGGGACCTGAAAGCAGCGCCATTGCCATGTCCCATTTGCCTTATGGATCTCCAGCCAGGACACCCCATACCCCAGTGATGGATCTCGGATTTGGCTTTGGGTCACTGTGGAACCCTGTTGGACCACGGAACATGTCATCAGCTTCTTCAGTTGACCTTTGCGTTTCGTCCCAAGGGGGGGTAGAACAAGGGTCAAATTGGAAGAACCGGGACGAACATGACGGACATATCTCAATTGGGATGGAAAAATGCATCGACGAAGTGGTTGCTTGGTGAAACAGACATGTGTACCCAAACACTCCATGGGACTGCCATATGCATACATTGGGGGGATTTGGGGGGTCAATGTAGGCATATATATATATGGCATACATGGAGTGTCTGGGATACATCAAATACAACTTATACTTATATGATCACCGTTTCAACCACCCCTGCCCTGATCGGGAGCCATATGTCAGTCACAGGCAGGTCGTGTCTAAATTATCTAAAAAAATCACAACTGCGTCACCGTCATCAAAGCCGGTGCGGGACACCGTTTCTATTTATTGAGGACGCTGCATGTCTGTCTGTGACCAGTGAAAACGAGAGAACTGACGCATGATTAAACCGTCCAAGAGAACTGCTTAGCTTGTATCAGTTCTCCCAAAGACTGCAAAGGTCTGTGGAACTTGCATCTGGAGAGGGTTTTGTGGTCTGAAAAAAGCATGGTCTTGCTGCAACCAGACTCACTTTTACACCCAAAATCGACGAATCGTTCCAAAGTTCCTTTTTGTTCAAGTTGTTTCCCTTCCAACCCATCAGGGTTGTCACGTGAACTCAACTCACATCGTGGAAGTGGAACATGTAGAGGAAATTGTCAAGGAACCATGCCATCCACTTCCATGTTAGTTCCAGTGAGTGTTTTTCTTTCATTCCGGTCAGCCATGTGACTTTGTCTTGCGACTCATCACAAACACCTCGCCGGGGTTCCCCGCTTGTGGCACGCCGGGCAGACCCAGGTGGGAAAATGGCGGTCCTCCCCAATAAAGGAGAGGCGCCGAGACAGATCATCCAGGATGATCACCTCAGATGCGAGCGGAAGTGAGATCAAACAAATTTGAACAAGATAAATCTAAAAAATGGCACCAGGATTCCCAGGATTCCGACGCCTTGTAAGGAAGCAAAGACCCATACATGATGGCCCATCCCTTCTGGAAAGTCTGCTTCATCTGTGGAACCCAAGAAATGAACCGATGGAATTCTTGGATGCGATGAATCAACCCCTTCAAAACCAAAGTCCAGAAGCCGGGTTGTTATTGGCACAGTGGATGGTTCTGGTTGATGGACTGGACAAAAGATGGGGACTCTAGGGATGAAAAGGGGCCCGGCCGTGCTGGCCCACTCTGGGTGTGGTCAAACTGCAGGGGAGGTCCTTGGGGAAGTCTCCCAGGAAGTCTCTCTGTTTCAGTAGGGAACCATGGTGGTGTGTCAAAAAAATATTGGACGCTCCATGATTCATGACCAAAATAGACTTTACGCTAGAACATATTAGAACCATCCATGTAAAGCGATAGTGTTGAACACATCCAAGTGTTTTTTCTCTTTGGAAAGGTTGCTCTCAACATCACCGGGCAATGGACACAAACCCTTGCAGAAAAAACATTGACTCAATCCACGCTCCGTGGCTTTATCTGGGGGGGTCTCACGCCTTAGACGTACCCAAGTCGAGTTGTGAACCACTTCCAAACAGGATCAGGTGAGACGAATCCCCCCAAAACGGCGAGTTGGGACCAAATCCCTAGGGCTCCAGTCGATCCTTCGTTTCGGAAGGGTGGAACTGGGGTGGGTTTCGAGGTTTTTTCTCTTACATAGCACGACTGGAGCCCTAGGCCATGATGTTTTGTTCAACCCCGTCATGGAGTCGAACACCTGGAGGTATTGAGCTACTGGATCGGTCTTGGGTGTGAGACTCGAATTCATCGATCTGTGCTTCACGCCTCCCGGGCGAGATGTGCTTCACCGCATGGGGGGGCGCCTCTACATCGGGTCCCAGGGCGACAGGCTCAAGCGAGGCAGTCGAGCTTGACCGACGAGAGTCGGGCTGTAAAATGGTTGGTTGAGTAGGGCTGTGATGGATTGGAGTTTCAGAGAATGCCGGAACTATGCAACGTCCTTGATAAAGAGAGACAGACACGGCGGCTGTAAGCGAGGGAAAGGTCCTAAGGTAGCAAAATTCCTTGACAGGTAAGTTCCATCCAGATGAGCGGTGTAACGACTTCCTCACTGTCACTACCCTTGTCTCTAGACTCTAGAGCCTTTCTGGAGTTCGTGGCAACGTCCTTGATTCCTGGAGCTGATGTAGAAGGCAAGTCGACCTATCGTTGGAAGTTGGTCCTTTCGAACGGAAAAGGAGGCCTATTTTTGAGGGCTTTGAACAGGAATGGAAACTGCATCGCATTCACATACGTTACTCAGTTTGGCTTCTCGCTCGGCCAAAGGGAAGACAGAAGCATTGCCCACCTTCGTGGGCCAAGGTAGCCTTCTTCCCAGCCCAGCCAAAAGTTGTCAAAAGGTGACCCTACTCTTCAAGGACACAAAGGTTGGCACCTTGGTGGGTCTTAGAAGCACACTATAGCACTAATGTAGACTCTTGATGAATAAACCCCTCCAATTGAATTGGAAAATACTCTTCATATGGGGGGCTTATGGCCCTCAAGAGTCTACATTTCTTTATATATATATATATATCAATATTAGCCCTGACTATGGATCCACATATCTTCTCAGAAGAAGGTAATTGGAGACTATTTATGCAGGCTTTGATGGTCCAATTCCCTTGGTGATAGATCGGTATGTGGATCTATAGGGTAGGGTGGACGAAGACCGGGCTCCGTTCTCAAATACACTTCGCCATGACGTCGGCGGTGAAGGGAGAATGCTCGCCCCAAATGGAAAGAATGCTCGCCTTGCGACCACCTACACCATATGGGGCCCTGGGGACCTGGGCGACGGACGGTTGACCCCTCTCTGTCGCGTGGTGTCAAACCGGGGGACGTTGCTTGACCATAGAAAATGAACAGAATTAGACGACCGAGCCAACCTACCCTGGTTTAGGTCTCCGGTCGTCTTGACCCACAGCCATTTTTTTAGCATGTGTTTTTTTTTGTGTCTCGTCAACAATTCCAAACCCAAAGAAAAGATCAACACCCAGGAGTCACAAAGGGGTGCCTAATGGAGGATAGGGGTGCCCATTATCCACTCACTTAGGAACTAAAAAGCATACTTTTGTGACTCTTGGACCTAACTCCAATTGTGATTTCACCCCCTTTTCGGCAGACCACTCCACCTCTGCCCCGAAAAAAAAGAAAACTCCAGCTCTGACCCAGCGGCTTGCGTGAAGCATTTAAAGCCCAAGAATGATTTCTGGTGACCTGGGACGTCGTTCGTTCGCGCAGGGACCTCTTGCAGTCCACCCTGAGGAGACGTTCGACTCACCCGTCTGTTTTTGGTTAATCCATTCAAATCCCTCGTGATGCTAGATACTCAGGTCAATAAATACCAATTCTTTGACAAGTTCAATCAATGGGGGCTGGAAAATCTCCATGGAGCTGATCCGGCGGTTTCTCAGGTTCAGAGTCCTCTGAGGATGATCGATGGACTTAGGATGATCGACCAACGGCGTGGTCTGGTCCCGCAATCCAGGCCAGAAAGGACCAGAAGTTGGTCTCCTCATGCATATTGGACATGTAATATAATAATGATTTTTAGGAAAGTAAAACAACAAGAACAACCTCTGGAGGGGGTTCCAGCATCGCTTCTTGCAGGGGTGCAAGCATGAGGACCATCCGCTGGTCCGCAGTACCAGCGAACTCAGAGCTTACGACCGGTGGACGGGTTGAAAAGCCACACGACAAGCACGGGAGACCGAACCCGCGTTCCGACCCCCTGGAAGGGTTGGAACATAGACCAACGCCATTCGGGCCAGGGTCTCTTCCTATTGAAATACGCACATACATGATTGGGGCTAAGACCAAGCATAGGCAATCCGGTTTTGGACCCCACCCCAAATCTAAATGTGACATCGGAAGGAAGTGGTCTAGCCCAGCTTGGATATGTGCTTAAGGAGCCGGTAAAGAAAGAACCAACACACCTTCCGGTAAAGAAGGGGATTCACCCATATTCACCCATATTATATATATATAGGAAAACTGAGTTTCTCACCCATTCAAAGCAAAACATCAACATACCAGCAGTCAAAAGACGGGGTGCCGGTTCCGAACGGAGGATAGGGGGGGTGCCCCTGTCACATCCACTCACTGGATGAGACCAAAACAAAACCAAAGTAAACTCTTCCTCATTGAACCACGGTTTGAACCAAAGCCTTTCCGCGTCTCCCAGCGGACTTCACCCAGTGGCGCTGATGGAATTCGTCACAGACCAATCCATCGGTCCGTTGCCTGGTGACATCGAGGTCATGCATTTGGCACAGTTTGGAACATATATTGTATACATATATTGTATAATAGATATGAGCTGCATTAACATACTATTCAATACTAGAGTCAATCATAAATGCGATACAATAATTATGTAACATACATCATGCAACACGCCGAGTCAACACATATTGTGTATCCCAAACACTCCATGGGACTGGTATATTTTACCTATACATTGGGGTGGTGCCAGAGGGGTCAATGTAATTAGGCATATATGATAGACATGGGTCGTGTCTGGGTATATCTTTACACACATGGCTTCGTTTTCGGTGGCACACACACACACACATCCTTCCTCATCCACATCGCGACCGGTCCAAACCGCGGGTCGGACCGCTTCGGATGGCCTTTCTGCAGCGCCGGCAGCGCGACGAGGCGCGAGGCGGAGGGCGTCTTCCGCAAAGCGCCCAGCGAGCCGTGTCTGGCTCCCATGGAACTGCCGAGCCGGTCCTGCGGTGGAGAATCAAGAACCAACCCAGACCATCCATGTATGGAATATATTGGAATATGTATTAGATATGTACAATACCATAGAGAATGATTATTATTAGATTATGATACGCGCAATTATGCGCATATACGCCATTTGTGACCCATACATGTGAACAAAAAAGTCCATACATGGATGGTCTGGATGGTCTAGGTCTGCTTGGTCCGCGTTGATGGGAAGATCTGGCACAAACGATTTGGCGTTCAAAACAGAACTGGTGATTTTCCGTTGATTTGCCAACCTCCTTGTTTTTCAGCCTGCTTTCACTTCCACTGCAGAATCATGGCTTGAAAGACCAAGCAGGAAAGCGGACTTTCAGGTGAGGTGTTTTCGGGTCATTTGGATGCTTTTTACTCTTTCGGATCAACCCGACCAACCCGACACCCTTGGAAAAGAAACCAGCTGCTTCCAGTCCGGGTCACCTGGCTGGACAATCCAACCCATGACAGTGATAGATCGACAGGACACCCTCTCTGAAAGCGCGTTAGGACATCTACTACCCTCTTGAGACATCTACTACCATCATCTATACTTAGCTGGGATGTTCTTAACATCTTCGTTCATGGTTCACACGGTTCGCGCCCATTCGAATGGGTACGCAAACGACTCGACCAGGGCTCCACTGACTTCACAGACGACTCGCCGACCGTGACGTCACAACCACGGAGGCCCTTGTTGCAAATGAACTCATCCTCTACCAACCACCGTGGTTTCTCTTCCACGGGGTAGTCGAAAAAGACAAGTCCTAAACACGACCCATGGGACTGCTATTGATCTTCTCAATGAGTCCCATTTATCGTCCCGGAACATGTCCTTCCAAAACGCACCTTCCGAAGCCTTAGGGTTCCAACCATATCCTCAGGTGGTTAGACCCTCAAACTCACCCTAACCACCTTCACAGGAGCCCTTTTGTTTGTTTCCTCAGGAGCTCTATAGGGAAAATACCCATACATCCATCAACTCATCCTGCCCATCCCCGCCTTCTTCATGTCCAATCCCAAATCCAAGGCCATGGCAGAGGTTGCAGGGGAAGTCCCTGCGGATCCTCCCTGCCGCGAGCGGTTTCGCAAGCTCTCGAAGGTCGCCTGAGTTCGCAGCGGTGTACGGTGCCGAACTTGGCAAGTCAGGGCCGCATACTATATAGATCCCCAAAGACAAGTATGGATCCCCACTTAGATTTGCTCATATATAAGGAACCTGTAAAAAATAACAAGGGTATAAATCCCTACATATCCCTGTATACTACTTGGATTTGCTTACGGAACCTGGAAAAGATCAAGGAGGATCTACAGATTTACCCACAGGGAAAGTAACAAATCACCTCAAGCAAAACCACGATTTGGGGACCGCTAAAGAAGAGGTCTCGAATCCTATCTCTTTTTCGGAGCCCTTCTTGGTTTCGATGGCGTAGCAAGTTTGTCCACTCATGTTTCATGTGCCTCATGGACACCTCCAAGCACTTTAGAGCACCAGCTTCTTTTGTTCGTGCCCTTTGTGGAGTCCCGACCAGTGACCTTTTGCAGGCCTTTGCATGACTTCAAACCAGGGGATCAAGTTCGGTCACTTTGAAGAGCCAGGCAAAGTGCTATTTCGTGACGCTACTTGGCTGGTTCCAACCAATCTTACGTCAGAAAGCCGACAACGCCTTCTAGCAGGACACTCATGTCATTTGTGAAATTCCAGGACTTAGTCAATCCAAAGCCAAATGAAGATTCTGTGATACTTTCCCTCCCTTCTTCGACACATTCCAATCACCCTTTCGTGTCCGAATGGACCTCTTGGCGTATCACAAGACTAGCAACTTTCCCCCTGGTTCTTCCATCCAGGACTCGCCTCTAGGACTTGCCTCCGTGGTTCTTCACCCCGTTCCAACGGGTCCGAAGCGCCGCGCGTTCCAGCGCCTCGTCGTCGTCGTCCACGTCCATGCGGATGAGCTGCGCCGAGCCCATGGCTTGGAACCTGCTTCGAAGGGAAGAGGTCGTTCTGGGGATCGATTGAAAGACGATCCCTGGGTGGTTCCAAAACAAAGGAGATATTGAGCATAGGAAAGAAATAGCAAAAGCCAGGAATTGGTCCCCAAGGAGCATGGACGTTATAATATATCATTCTTTCTGATGAAGTGGTGAAAAAAGCTGCTCAGCAGTTCCAAAAATAAGAGATCCAAGGCGCGTGCTCGCTACAGCTAGGGTCAGAATCCTGCATGTGGCATCAATCCAAGCCATACCCTTGACTTCCGTTTGACCCACGGAGTCTCAAATTCAAGGACCACCATCCGGAGATATCAGGAGTTTGTTTTCGAAATGACCCAGGTCGTTGCCTCTTGCTCTCTTGAAAGGCAGTTTATGATTGCCTGTAGCTCTCTGGAAAGGAAGTTGATGAAAAAGCCGCGAGACTTGTCAATTTGCTGATAGGGTCTTTGGATCCCACACTGTGCACGTGTGGGCACGTGTGGGCACGTGTGGGCACCTGGGCTTGCTTTCGCCCATCAGCACCCCAAATTGAATGTTCATCATTCATGCATATTCAAGCCTTCGTGTCGGATTTCCCTCTTATCCCATGAGCTTCGAGCGTGTATGTAACTCTTGAACCCATCAAGTCTGGTTTTGATCGGAAGAGAGCCATCTATGGGGCCATCTAGGCACTCCAAAACAGGTCGTGTCACTCTCAGGTCTCCACGTCCGGGCGGAGTCTCACGTCCGACGTTCATCGAAACAACGGGTGTCAGCTCCGGAATCGTTGCATACATGAACACCTCATGTACGACCCAAATGTATAATAGGGAACTATTCCATAATATTCCATATACATGGGTGGTGTGGGTTTTGTCAGCTCCAAGGCACATGTTGGTGAGGCTAGACTTCCTCTTCATGCGCTTCTCCTGCAGGAAAGTCTGTGGGAGAAAGTAGGTAGGAAAGGATCCACCAAGCAGTGTGGCGTTCGGGTTCCGCCTAAGCACCTAAGTCTTTCTGAATCTGTCCGACCATTTTGCAAGGAAAAACATGCCCGGTGGCTCCAAAAAACGCAGTAGACCGGTCGTTTTGGTGCGGGCGAGCTAGTGCGGGCGTTCTCAGGTGAGAACGACTTCCGCGACCAGTTGGCTTTGACCAGTTTTGATCAGTCTTTCTGAGCCTCTTGGCATGCAGTGTCAGACGGGTCAAGGGACCCTTTTTTCTCAGACTGAAATGTACCAAGATAGGAAGCTTCCATAAGGCCAGGCACTTGTCGAGGCCAGGCACTTCTTGTTCCCATCAAACATGTTCCCACCATGCAGATCAATGGGTTCTTGTTTGTGTTCTACGAAGAATGATTCTCAACTCCCAAACCATTGGGTGTGTAGATGATCAATCCCTTACTTGCCAGGTCGCCTCATTTCTGTGCGGGGAGTGGAGGGATTCGCAGATTCATCACGACAGTTGGAAGGTCAGTGTAACAACAAGACTCTGCTCCCGGTACTTTTTGGGAATCTCTCCGGTTCCTATAACCCTTTTACCTTCCCTGACACTTACAAATCGTTGGTTCTCGGGAATCTTAGGCCGGATCCTAAAACCATCGGCTCGATGCATGCGGCCGTTCTTCGTCGATGTTTCAGAACAAAACGCCCTGCTGGCCTCCTTGTCTTCTTCATCGGCCATGTTAAACGTCATCACTTCTCTCTGACCTTGAACGTTCCAACACAGGTTATATAACTGACCTAAAAAAGGAACCTCATATACCCTAATTGATTACTGGGGGACCTATGGCAATAGTCCAACAGTCGGGTTCTTCAACCTCTGTTGGTTGGATCATCTTGGATCCCAACGAGATTTATCGGTCGACGATGACATGTGGTGGAGCATCGCTTGATGGGACGGAACCAACGGATCCAGAGTGGAAAAGGTTGTGAGCGGCGGCCTTTGGCAGATGATGTTGAAGCAATCTAAGAAGCGCTGGACGCAAGACGAATCAAGTATATATTACTGTAACAGTATATTATTTCCAAATGATTCCAAACAAAAAGAATACATTTGGGTGTCCTTTCAACTAAGGAGATGCCCCCAAAAAACTGGTATACCAAACGAAAGCAAAGCGCCAAAGCATCCTTCGGATTTGTCCGGAGTCGTCAAAGACTAAAAAAGGACAAGCACTCAGTGCTTCAAGCGCAGAGATCACAATCCTCCAAGAAGAAGTAACGAAGGATCAGGATCTCCAGTGTCTGGAGGGCCTTCTTACTTCAAAACCAATGGTGAACCCAAGCCATTGTTGTCCCTTTTGGGAGCGATCGTGGCCACATGTGCAGCCCAGCTGCGCAAGCCATTCGACACCGAGCCAGCCATGAACCAATTCCTCGGAGGTCAGCTGAGTGAAGCAGTTGCCATCTATGAGATCTCTGGACGCTGTCAGCTTGAAACGATTGAACAAATGTGAATTGATGGAGTTCACAACATAAGTGTCTCAGCTTGAACAACAAGTATAAAATATATTAATGTATGCTATAGCATTATATAACATTTGATTCATGGGTCATCAAATGTCAATGCATGCACGCGCGGGCGCGAGTGTGTCCCAAGTGTGTGTGTGTGTGTGTGGAGCTTTCGAAAGAGGACCATCTCTCAGTGCTTGTCCAATCCTCCATTGAGACCTTTAAGAGTCCAACTCCAAAGCCCTTGCTGATACAAGAATCATCCAAGACGATACAACATCCACATATTCGATTTTCCCCTACTTCTTCACTCATCCACCAAAAAACGGACACCTTCTCATGATTTCAAGAAAAAGAAGCACCGTCCGCTACACCCACAGGCTGTTGGCCGCCCTCTTGCCCTCCACCGTGCGATTTCGTGAGCGCTTCTCCACCAGGCGTCATCGGCCGCTTCTCCGCCGGCGGCGCCGGGTTCTCCGGCCGCTTCTCCGTCGGGGCGACCGCGTCGGGCGCGGGAGCGGCCTCCAGCTGCAGCGCCGAAAAGCGCACGCCCCGGTGAGCAGGTCGAAGCCCGGAGAGTCCGAAATGAGTCAATTTGATCCCTCTACACGTAGAGTCTATTCTGCACGACCTGGCAGGTCTCCAAAGGATCGAGACCATTGTTCAACCTGGTTTAGAGGTCTCAATTTCGGTGACCTGGCAGGTCTAGGGTGCGTATGCGCCCGCCCTATGGTTCGTGGAGTCATCAAATCCCATGTGGGGTAGTGCATGAGTCACTTGGAAGTTCCGCACGCATGGCCTGTGAGGTGGGCTGACGCATGTTTGACAGACCCCGCATCTAACTGCACTTGCATTAAAATGATTCAGCAAATAACATTTATCCACAATGCTGATGCCTTGGTCTACAAACCTCTCAGAACGTATTATAATGACTACAATACCTTGTCATACTATGTCCAAACATCATGCATGCATGGGTCAGGGTTCAACAATCGAGACTCAACAATCACCTGGCTTGTCGCTTGTCTTGGCTTCATCCCAAGCTCCCCAAGCCGCTGGTCCGTGAGCTGCTCTCCCAGCTACTTCCACCGAGACTGGACCATCGAAGCTTATGGGCTCCATTACCGAGGCTCCGGGGCAAGAGAGCCGAACTGCCCCCTCGTCGTGAACGAACAGAATCCAATGAAGTCGGATTGAAAGAACATGGATGTATACAGTGATCTTAACAAACTTGGTTACTTGACCCAGGTTCTAGTGATCTTATCATTGGTGATAGTTCACTTGGCTGACTTGGTTCATTCACAGTGACCTTTAAAACTTGGTGATAGTGAATCAATCACCCTCCAAAAAGAGTTTTCCAGGTGATCCACCTTCAGTGGATGACCCCACCTCCTTCGCACTCTCTGAGTGCCCCGGACCGGCACGATGGCACCGATGATGCGTCGCTTACCTCAGTGAGAAGCCAGCGTGATGAGAAGCCTAGGTGAGCTGGGAACCTAAACGAATTTGGAATAGTGTACACATCATGCATAGCGGTTCCCAGATGGAGAGGTTGGCACGGTTTCCAAGACATTTTGAGTGGGGATCTACTAACTTTTCGGTCTATGTGGGGGGTCTATATAGCTCGATCTATAGACTGAGTTCTTCCCCCCCTTGGGTGAAGCACCAAAACATATCCCAACACCTCCAAACGCAACGCACTGGTCACGCGAGAAGCAACGCACTGGTCACTCACTCGGTAGCAACTGAGTTCTTCCCGTGTCCAGATACGCTGCATACTTGGTGAGAGGCTTCCTGAAGGTGACAAACAGCTCTCAACAAAAGCTGCAAAAACAGGGGCACCTCTCTACCCAGGACCTGAGCCGTGACCGTGACCTCTTTGAAGTCTCTACTTGCACACAGGGCTTTTCTTCGTGACTTGGACCCGCCACTGGGACGATCAAGAACTGAATGACTTGGCTCCAAATATGTCAACCCTCCATCCCATCCATCTCCTTCCTTGAAACATCTCCCAGGCTCCCAGTCTCCCCTTCGTCCCTCCTCTACCCGCACCGATTGGTTCAATCTTTGCTCTCAAAAACACCAGCAGAACCCCTTCTTCTAAAAGCCCTCTCCATCAGTGGTGGCCGCTCCACAGTGATTCGCCCATGTGTGGTGCAGTAGGGTCTTAGACTCGCAAGATCCGCGAGCGACTTCTCCGCGTCGGTCCGATTCCTCCGCGGCTTCCACCGCCCCCACCCCATCACTGAGCTGATCAAGGCGGCTCTTCGCGGTGCTGATCCTCCGTGCGGGCTCCGATTCCTTGGGTTCCACCGCCGCCGGAGCAGCCGGTGGCGCCGGCGCCTGGGCGAAAAGTGCTAGCAGCTCAATGCAGCTCACCGACCCTTGGATTGCAACCACCATTGCACACCATTGATCCCTAGGGGTGTTGTTCAGCCTTTACCAAATTTAACGATCTTGTTTTACTATACAGATTTTGGACTACAAGACCAGGTCATCCATATTTGGATGGTCTTACCATTTCTGTATGACTTGGAAGGCTAGGGCTTAGGAAAAGATCTACACTCTGACTCCGCAACATGGGAATGGAAAAAGGTCTCTTTCAAAAGGACTTTCATGCACAGGGGGGTTGTCCACTTTTATGTTGCTATGAGGGCGTTGTGCCTTTGCTTCAGGTGATGTTGGTCGCTATCATCTACATTTGGCACAACTCCCAGGCCATTTTGCTCAGCTGCACAGGCCCATCAGTGAGAGAGGCCTCCATGTTTCACCAAAACCAGGTGATGGAGACGACAGTCGGTGGAACCGTTGTGAGTGGATGTATTCTGCAAGCTTTTGTGGTCCCTGAAAGCCACCTCTATAGAAGGGATCCTGAGGCTTTTCTGGCCAACGGGAAGACGGTCCGACGAGGTCCTCGACGAGGTCTGAGGTTGCTTGCGTCAGCTTGTAGCGAATAAAAAAAAAACAAAGGAGATCGATACCTCCCAAGGCATATATATATATATATCCAGCTCGATCCTCAGCTAGTCCATCTGACTTGCTTCTCTGACTTGCCGGACGAAAGGGGGGGCCGGCCCCGTCGACCGGTCCTTCCACCGGTCGGTAGCCGGTTGGACCACGGCCTGCCAGGCCCTGGCAGCCCCACGGCTCAAGGCTCCACGTGCCTTGGGACCTTCTTGTCCCAATCCCACCATATGCCACCCAAGCCAAGCTACAAGATCACGAGGCTTGAAGTGTGGCACCATCCAGGTACCAACGGAGGGAGACATGTGGAACGGCAATGGCTGAGTAGTCCTTAGCTATAAGGGCACCCTGTTTATGGTTGGGGAATTGGGAAAATGGTTTGTTCAGAAATCTAAAGGCAAATACTGTACCAGTTGCCAGTTGCTCTTTCCTATATCAGAACTCCAGATAGTTGGTTCCCTCATTCTCAACCGCCAATCATGTTCAATCACTTCATTCAAAAGATGGTCAGCGGCCATTTATCAATCCAATACTTCTACAATGACCTCATGCACATTTCCCTGTTGTATCTTTTCTTGCCATCTAAAGCCTCGGCAAGTGATAAAATGCAGCTGCAACCAAAGCTTCTTCACCTCTTCCTTTACTTCGATCTTGGCGACGGTCTCTTCCTTCACCTCCTTCACCTTAGCCGAAGTGCACTACATCGCTTGGGAGGTTTTTGAATTGGCTAACTCTTGCAAAACAATAGTCTATTACAGTTTTCTTCCCAAATACTTGCTACCAAAATCATGTAGGGTGTAACCAAATGATTATAACATCATTGCACGCTTGTCTTAGGTTCATATACGAAGGTGCAAGTGTATTCAAAGTGAGGGCTAGGTAAATCGATACGGTGTTACGCGACGAGTCTTGTTTTGTTGGTAACATGTATTCTCACATCTAGCGAATTGTTTCTTTTCAAAAATTCGTTTGAACACGCAGCCGAGCTGCAAGATCACGAGGCTTGAAGTGCGGCACCATCCAGGTACCAACCGAAGGAGACATGTGGAATGGCAGCTGAGTCCTTGGCTATAAAGGCAGTGACAGTTTGGTTTGGGGATGGGGAAGCCTTGACTTCAGAAGCGAATTCGGCTAGAGAAGGCCATTCGAAGACGTCGAAGTCTGGTAAAGGCTTTCTGCTGGACACACTGTGACACACCTTCTGCAATGGGC